GCAGTCTGTGATGACTTGCGGACACCAATGCCTCCTAGTCTGACTGGAAGTGTAGCTTGGTTCCACTGCCCGTCTTCTAGAGCAAGGTTAAGTAATTTCGTAAAAATGTGCCTCAGAATACTGTCATATTCGTGCAGTATAGGGTTATCATATGAAGGTGCACATCTTAGGAAATATGTCAACCTGGGCAGACTCAAGCACTTTGCGAGAAGGTACAAGGCATCGTGGTTGTCCAGATTGCCTATTCGTTGTTCCATTCTCCTTAACTCTTCCAATTTCTTCCTGAGAATTGTGTCAATTGCATTGCTTCCCAGAGGTGCTCCTAGCAAGACACTATTTGTGGGGGCAATGACAGCTGCTCCTGGTAGTTTTGATCTCACTGCATTTATCACTTGTTGACTGACTGAGATGATATATATATATATATATATATATATATATATATATATATATATATATATATATATATATATATATATATATATATATGTGTGTGTGTGTGTGTGTGTGTGTGTGTGTGTGTGTGTGTGTGTGTGTGTGTGTGTGTGTGTGTACTCACCTATTTGTGGTTGCAGGGGTCGATTCACAGCTCCTGGCCCCGCCTCTTCGCTGATTGCTACTAGGTCCTCTCTCTCCCTGCCCCATGAGCTCTATCATACCTCGCCTTAAAACTATGTATGGTTCCCGCCTCCACTACGTCACTTTCTAGGCTATTCCATGGCCTGACTACTCTATGACTGAAGAAATACTTGCTAACATCCCTTTGATTCATCTGAGTCTTCAACTTCCAATTGTGACCTCTTGTGTCTGTGTCCCCTCTCTGGAACATCCCGTCTTTGTCCACCTTGTCTATTCCGCGCAGTATTTTATATGTCGTTATCATGTCTCCCCTGACCCACCTGTCCTCCAGTGTCGTCAGGCCGATTTCCCTCAACCTTTCTTCGTAGGACAATCCCCGTAGCTCTGGGACTAGTTTTGTTGCAAACCTTTGCACTTTCTCTAATTTCTTGACGTGCTTGACTAGGTGTGGATTCCAAACTGGTGCTGCATACTCCAGTATGGGCCTGACATAAATGGTATACAGAGTCTTAAACGAATCCTTACTGAGGTATCGGAACGCTATCCGTAGGTTTGCCAGGCGCCCGTATGCTGCAGCAGTTATCTGATTGATGTGCGCCTCAGGAGATATGCTCGGTGTTATACTCACCCCCAGATCTTTTTCCTTGAGTGAGGTTTGCAGTCTTTGGCCATCTAAACTATATTGTGTCTGCTGTCTTCTTTGCCCCTCCCCAATCTTCATGACTTTGCATTTGGCAGGGTTAAATTCAAGGAGCCAGTTGCTGGACCAGGCTTGTAGCCTGTCCAGGTCTCTTTGTAGTCCTGCCTGATCCTCATCCGATTTGATTCTTCTCATTAACTTCGCATCATCTGCAAACAAGGACACTTCTGAGTCTATCCCTTCCGTTATGTCGTTCACATATACCAAGAACAGCACAGGTCCTAGGACTGACCCCTGTGGAACCCCGCTTGTCACAGGCGCCCACTCTGACACCTCGTCGCGTACCATGACTCGTTGTTGCCTCCCTGACAGGTATTCTCTGATCCATTGCAGTGCCTTTCCTGTTATGTGTGCCTGATCCTCTAGCTTTTGCAGTAACCTCTTGTGAGGAACTGTGTCGAAGGCCTTCTTGCAGTCCAAAAATATGCAGTCGATCCACCCCTCTCTCTCTTGTCTTACTTCTGTCACCTTGTCATAAAACTCTAGTAGGTTTGTGACACAGGATTTTCCTTCCCTGAAACCGTGCTGGTTGTCAATTATACACTTGTTTCTTTCCAGGTGCCCCACCACTCTCCTCCTGATAATCTTCTCCATGACCCTGCATACTATACACGTTAGTGATACAGGTCTGTAGTTTAGTGCCTCATGTATGTCTCCCTTTTTAAAAATTGGGACTACATTTGCCATTTTCCATACCTCAGGGAGTTGCCCAGTTTCAAATGATGTGTTGAAGATCTTTGTTAATGGCTCACACAATATCTCTGCTCCCTCTTTAAGGACCCATGGAGAGATGTTGTCTGGTCCCACCGCCTTTGAGGTGTCAAGTTCGTATAGCAGCTTCTTCACCTCCTCCTTGGTTATATGTTCCTCATCCAGCACTTGCTGGTGTGCTCCCCTGTTCTGATTTCCTGGAGTCCTACTGGTTTCCACTGTAAATACCTCTTTAAATTTTGTGTTGAGCTCCTGACATACCTCTTGGTCGTTTCTTGTGAATTCCCCATCACCCTTCCTCAGTCTGATTACCTGGTCCTTGACTGTTGTTTTCCTCCTGATGTGGCTGTACAACAGCTTCGGGTCAGTCTTTACTTTTGATGCTATGTCATTTTCATATTGTCTCTGAGCCTCCCTTCTTATCTGTGCATATTCGTTTCTGGCTCTTCGGCTGATTTCTTTATTTTCCTGAGTTCTCTGTCTTCTGTACCTTTTCCATTCTCTAGTACACCTAGTTTTTGCCTCCCTACACCTTTGGGTGAACCAAGGACTCGTTCTGTTCTTCCCATTATTTCTGTTTCCCTTGGGAACAAACCTCTCCTCTGCCTCCTTGCATTTTGTTGCTACATAGTCCATCATTTCTTGTACTGGTTTTCCTGTCAGTTCCCTCTCCCACTGAATGTCTTGAAGGAAGTTCCTCATGCCTGAGTAGTTCCCCCTTTTGTAGTTTGGTTTTTCCCAGCCTATTCCTGCTACTCTCTCCACTTGGAGCTCAACTATGTAGTCGAAGCACAGAACCACATGATCACTAGCTCCCAGGGGCCTTTCATACATGATACCCTCGATGTCCGAACTACTCATGGTGAATACAAGGTCCAGCCTTGCTGGTTCATCTTCTCCTCTCTCTCTGGTAGTGTCTCTAACATGTTGATGCATGAGGTTTTCCAGTACCACATCCATCATCTTGGCTCTCCATGTTTCGGGACCCCCATGGGGCTCCAGGTTTTCCCAGTCAATCTCCTTGTGATTGAAATCACCCATAACTAGTAACTTTGCTCCCCCCATGTGTGCTCTCCTGGCCACCTCGGCTAGTGTGTCGATCATTGCTCTGTTGCTCTCATCGTATTCTTCTCTTGGCCTCCTGCAGTTCTGTGGTGGGTTGTACATTACTGCAATTATCACCTTATGTCCCTCAGACTGGATTGTTCCTACTAAGTAGTCCCTTTCGCCCGTGCCATCCATTTAGCGCTCGAGATCTTAGAAAGCCTTCATATACTTGGCTTAAGTGACACATAAACACCTATAATGATCACTACAACTCGGGTCGCCTGAAGAAAACTTGCCAAATTCCATTGCATTACTCATATACCAGCACAGGTTATATTATCTCGTGTAGGCGTGATAAATAAGACACATTTGTAGCAGACGAAACGTTTCGCCTGCACAACAGACTTCTTCGGTCACAAGCAGGTGAAAAGGGCACTAGAAGGAGAAGTAGAATCGATGTGATCAGTCAGTCACATGGTATTGTTTACCTTGTGTCTACCTGGAGGGTGTTCCGGGGGTCAACGACCCCCGCGGCCCGGTCCATGACCAGACCACCCGTTGGATCAGGGTCTGAACAACCAGGCTGCTACTCCTGGCCGCACGTCCAACTTACGAACCACAACCCGGCTGGTCAGGTACTGACTTCAGGTATCTGTCCATCTCCCGCTGGAAGGCAGCCAATGGTCTATTGGTAATTCCCTTTATGCCTGGTGGAAGGCTGTTGAACAGACTTTAAGGCCCTCATGAAGTAACTGGAATGAAGACCTACTGAACTCTATCAACCTTGTCCCGGTAATCTACCTACGGTAGACTTTCTCTTTGATTTTCTTCTTTACACCTTAGAATTTACAAAACAAGACCAGTCATGGGAGGCACTATAATGCTGCTCTTTGGCTGAGGGAATGAATACCTCTCTTTTTTTGTATATAGCTCTACTGTGTTCCCATTATCCTTGAATTTGTACTGATAAAGCCACTGGATGGCGTAACGTCTACAATAAAGATATCCAGATGTTGCACATGCGTCTAATTATTCATTTTCATTAGCTTATAACCACAGACTCGGTAGTTACCACTGAACACATCTAATTCTCCCCATCTACTCTCATTTCCCAGGTACAATAAAACTCTAATTGACGGTGAATGAACTATTAATTTATGTAAAGCATCATTACGAATGTATTTGTTTGGACTTAATATGTGACCATAAATTCCACGGTTGGAGTTTGTGAAGGTGTTTGCAAGGTAATTAATTAATTAACATCAGGGTCGCGACAGCCAGGAAATGACGGGGTGGATAATGAGAACTTTCAAAACAAGGGAAATAATGTAAGGTGAAGCCGTAACGGCTTGATAAAGCTCCCGGAGAGCGAAACGTTGCCACAATAAAATGCCACATTAGTTGCACTTGTGTCAGTTTATCTAACATAATGTCGGCAATTCTACCAACATTATTACAAGGGAAATAATGCTAATGGTGGTACTTTTCAAATCGCTTGTGCTCCTTCATTTGGAATATTGCCCAGTGTTGACGACCCCGTTCAGGGCATGAGAAATATCAGAGTTGGAACAGATACAGAGATAGTTTACGGCCCTCAAAGAACCAATAAATCCTTCATATTACTGGAATTACTGGAACCTATTCACCACCGGCCAAGAATGCTATAATCGCATAGCGTTCTTGACTGGTAGTGAACAGATTCCATGCGGCCTTTAAACCAGATCTGGTAGCAGATTCCCTACAGGATTTCAACAATAGAAACGATAGGGTTATTGTAGATCAGCCAGTTGATGGACAGAGGTCAGGGCCAAAAGCAATAGGACTCACACCCCGTAAATTCAAGCGGGTGATTACATATCAGGGAGGCTATAGCGACGCATGTGCAGTAGAACGCAATAACACTATGCGCAGGCGTGATGTTGAGAGGGGTATGGGAGACTGTTCTCTCAAGGTGGCAATAAAAGGCAGGAGAACAGGAAATGCCACCACTCATCCCACAGCGCAGAGAGCAAAGACAGGTCAGCATCATGCGTGGTCTTCTCTTCAGTAGTGTTGTGGTCTTGGCTGCACTCCACCTCGCCACCTCTCTCAAGGTAAACCCATTCTTTTTACGTATTTTGTAAAATACGTCAGATTTGCCATTGCGGATACTGGCTTTAACATTTTTCGCTTACTTTCACTGGAAGTTGTGCCTGCTTTCACTGAAAGTTGTGCCTACTTTCACTGAAAGTTGTGCCTACTTTCACTGAAAGTTGTGCTTACTTTCACTGAAAGTTGTGCCTACTTTCACTGAAAGTTGTGCCTACTTTCACTGAAAGTTGTGTCTACTTTCACTGAAAGTTGTGCCTACTTTCACTGAAAGTTGTGCCTACTTTCACTCAAAATCCTGCCAGCTTTCACTGGAAGTTGTGCCTGCTTTCACTGAAAGTTGTGCCTACTTTCACTCAAAGTCTTGCCAGCTTTCACTGAAAGTTGTGCCTGCTTTCACTGGAAGTTGTGCCTGCTTTCACTGAAAGTTGTGCCTGCTTTCACTGAAAGTTGTGCTACTTTCACTGAAAAATGTTTCTTATTCTAGCCGAAAATTTTTTATGCCTAGTTTTGCCGATAGATTTACCTAATTGCAATTTTTTTTTTACTTTCAATTTAGATTATTTTTTTTTCTACTTTCATAGAAAGTTATGCCTACTTTTGTTAAAACATTTGCCCTAATTTCCTCATCTCTCATGTCAACTTCTTTTGGATTAACCAGCCCTGACCCAATTAACCAGCTTTGGGACCTTCATTATTCACATTATATCAAAAATGCTTGATTCTGTCTAATGAAATTCTGTCTTGGCATTTTTATAAGCATTTAGACGATCCACAGAACGGGTGGGACTTGAACTCTTGGCAGATGTCTCCTAAAACTTGCAGGCCACTGTGCTAGCAACTGTCATGGGTTCGACTCCCACCCTTTCTGTGATTTGTCTGTAATTGTGTTATGATTTCGTGAGTCATGGAGATGTATAGCCCCTACTGATTTAGTGTTTCCATGGGTTTAATAATAATACACAAGGGATGGGGGGAGGGGATAAAGAAGGCTTTACGTATTAGTGGCTTGAGTTCCAAGCAGGCATGTGTAAGCGTTTTAGATCTAGTTGAGACGAGTGTTTTTTTTTTTTAATGGATTGACGTGTTGCTAGAGTGTGAGCTAAGGGACTCATGGAAGCCGGATAGCCGGACTTGAGTCCTGGAGGTGGGAAGTACAGTGCCTGCACTCTGAAGGACGGGTGGAGATGTTGCAGCTTGAGAGTCATTTGAACTATGATGTCTCCACACTTGTGCAGATGTGATCTCACATCTGTGTGACTTGATAAAGTCCACTGTATGGGCGAAACGTTGTCAATAAAAGATCGCATTATGCTCCATGTCTGTCTTTTCGCAGGCTTTAAAACCAATAAAACAATCTATCACCCCCTTATTTATTCTTCACAATATATGCCAATATCTATTCCACTTTAGCTTCTAATAATAACATCGCCCAACAAATTTCAAAGTGGATAACTAACAATTTCTGCAAATTCTTCTAAAAATACAAAGGCGATACCTCACTTAGTTCAATTGTTTTTTTATTAAATATCCATTAGCATAAGTGATTGTGTTTGCAATTTTGTATGTACTCACTTTGCCTTAAAATAAATCCGTATTAAAAATTCTTTACTGAATCAGTGATGTTTTTCAAACTTTTCAAAAAAAATTTTTTTTCCATCGGTTATGTAAGAAAAATAATTAATATAATATACTCATGTTATCTTTTGTTTTCACGAAAATGAATTTAAATATATTGAGTCAAGGTTAATATGCTCGTATTTTGTTCCAGGTTAATGGAGATCAGGAAGTTAAAGGTATGAAGAGAAGTCAGCTACTGTTTCGTTCAGTTTGTTTACGTTCTTGTAAATCAACCTCTGTGAATGCGGATTTCCTTAGCCAGTTTGTTTACGTTCTTGTAAATCAACCTCTGTGAATGCGGATTTCCTTAGCCAGTTTGTTTACGTTCTTGTAAATCAACCTCTGTGAATGCGGATTTCCTTAGCTATGAACAACTGCCTCAACCATGTGCTGTTACCCATTATTATTATAATCAAAAAGAAGCGCTAAGCCACAAAGTGCTGTTACCCAACGTCATATAAATGCTGATTCATTCTAATATCACTCAGCTACCCCAAATATTTTTTGGTACGCCAGTAAAGTGTAGTTACACTAGTATTAAGCCATACAGGAAACTAACATCAACTCATTTCCTTTACAGAGGAAAACCAGGCAGGTCAACGCACTTTCTACCAACTAGGCCTCAGAAAATTCTGTAAGTACCAATCTTTTAGTGTGTATTCACACTTGTGTTTATAAAAGTCGAGGTGCTGCTCCTGGCCCTGTTTTTTGAACATGTCCAACGTTTCCACTCGGCTGGGGATCGAACCACGGTTCCTCAATGTGTCAAATGAGGCCGCTAACAACTGAGCCAAGAGCAACCATGAAAAAGATGTGGAAGTAATAACAAACATTATGAAAAATGACTGTTTGCTTATGTTTACAAAGTAATGTTCACATTGTTTACATTAACATAAAGATGTTTACACATTAAGATGTTTATATAATGATAATGTTTATACTTCACAGGTAGACGAATCTCTACCTGGCTAAGCACTACAGGTAAAAATTATTATTACAATAATTGCAAAGCACTAAGCTCTTAGGGGTCATCCAGCTCCCGGAAAATAGGAAGTAATTAGGTTTGATCCGAGAAAGGGGAAGGGAAACGTCAGTAACTCACCAGTATAAACCTATTTTCAGATCTTCTAATTGTTAACAGCATGACAAGTTAAGTTTATAGTTAAATTTATTAATTATTCCAATAAATTTTATTATGCGTGGCAGCATAACAAGAATTATTTAGAAATAAATGATAATAGAAATAAAGAATAATATATAATAATGAAATAAATAAATTTTGGTTTAGTCAGTTA